GAATTAACATATAGTAAAAAAAATAAAAAAAAAAAAAAAAAAATGAAGGGCGTAAATATCCTTAAAAAAAAAATAAAACGCCGATAATACCAAAAAAAAAAAAAAAAACATCATGACTGCCCAGTAGGCTCATCATTCACAGGTCACCATCTTCCAGCCAGTGAAGACCTAACCTAGCACCATGATTACCCCTCCCCCCCAAAAGAAAAAAAAATGAAGTAAGAAGTTATATCCTAAAATGAAAGAAAAATAGCACATGACTGGGCGTGCCGTTCGCCCACAATTGAAGGGACAGTGCTCATTGGGCTCATCATTCACAGTTCACAATCTCCCAGCCAGTGAAGACCTAACCTAGCACCATGATTACCCCTCCCCCTCAAAAGAAAAAAAAATGAAGTAAGAAGTTATATCCTAAAATGAAAGAAAAATAGCACATGACTGGGCGTGCCGTTCGCCCACAATTGAAGGGACAGTGCTCATTGGGCTCATCATTCACAGTTCACAATCTCCCAGCCAGTGAAGACCTAACCTAGCACCATGATTACCCCTCCCCCCCCCCCCCCCCCCAAAAAAAAGAAAAAAAAGAAGTTAGAAGTTATATCCTAAAATGAAAGAAAAATAGCACATGACTGGGCGTGCCGTTCGCCCACAATTTAAGGGGCAGTGCCCAGTAGGCTCATTATTCACAGGTAACCATCTCCCAAGCCAGTGAAAACCCAACCTAATACCATTAATACTCCCCCCTAAAACAAAATGTAATATCTTAAAATGAAAGAAAACTAGCACATGGACCAGTGGATCTTAGATTATATTATAAAAAAAACAATGATTTCGAAGAGTACGAAATTACAAATAGTAAAAAAAAAAAGAAAAAAAAAAAAGAAAAAAAGGCGTAAATATTCTTTTAAAAAATTAAACGCCGATAACACCAAACAACAACAACAACGACATGACTGCCAAGTAGGCTCATTATTAACAGGTCACCATCTCCCAGCCAGTGAAGACCTAACCTAATACCATTAATACCCCCACCCCCTATACAAAAAAAAGTAATATCTTAAAATAAAAGAAAACTAGCACATGGACCAGTGGATCTAAGATTATATTATCAAAAAACAATGATTTAGAAGAGTACGAATTTACAAATAGAAAAAAAAAAAAAAAAAAAAATGAAGGGCGTAAATATCCTAAAAAAGAATGAAACGCCGATAATACCAAACAAAAAAACAAACAACATGACTGCCCAGTAGGCTCATCATTCACAGGTCACCATCTCCCAGCCAGTGAAAACCTAACCTAGCACCATGATTACCCCCCCCCCCTCTAAAAAAATAAATAAATAAAAGAAGAAAGAAGTTATATCCTAAAATGAAAGAAAACTAGCACATGGACCAGTGGATCTGAGATTATATTATCAAAACAAACAATGATTTAGAAGAGTACGAATTTACAAAAAGTAAAAAAAAAAAAAAAAAAGAAAGAAAAAAGGCGTAAATATTCTTTTAAAAAATTAAACGCCGATAACACCAAACAACAACAACAACGACATGACTGCCAAGTAGGCTCATTATTAACAGGTCACCATCTCCCAGCCAGTGAAGACCTAACCTAATACCATTAATACCCCCACCCCCTAAACAAAAAAAATTAATATCTTAAAATAAAAGAAAACTAGCACATGGACCAGTGGATCTAAGATTATATTATCAAAAAAACAATGATTTAGAAGAGTACGAATTTACAAATAGAAAAAAAAAAAAAAAAAATGAAGGGCGTAAATATCCTAAAAAAGAATGAAACGCCGATAATACCAAACAAAAAAACAAACAACATTACTGCCCAGTAGGCTCATCATTCACAGGTCACCATCTCCCAGCCAGTGAAAACCTAACCTAGCACCATGATTACCCCCCCCCCCCCCCTCTAAAAAAAAAAATAAATAAAAGAAGAAAGAAGTTATATCCTAAAATGAAAGAAAACTAGCACATGGACCAGTGGATCTGAGATTATATTATCAAAACAAAACAATGATTTAGAAGAGTACGAATTTACAAAAAGTAAAAAAAAAAAAAAAAAAATGAAGGGCGTAAATATCCTAAAAAAGAATGAAACGCCGATAATACCAAAATTCACAGGTCACCATCTCCCAGCCAGTAAAGTCCTAACCTAGTACCATAATGTACCCTCCCCCCCCCCCCCCAAAAAAAGTGGGCGTGCCGTTTGCCCACAATTTAAGGGACAGTGCAACATGTCACCACCATCTAGCCAGTGAAAACCTAACCTTACACTATGAATACCCTAAAAAGATAAAATTTAATGTCTTAAAATGAAAGAAAACTATGGGACCTGACTAGGCGTGCTGTTCACATACATAAGTGTTCTCATCCCTTCTGTTTCATGGTACAGTATTCGAATAAGCAAATCTAGATTTAAAAATAAATTAATGTAAAGAAAAATAAGGGAGGAATCACAATTCCTGCTTTTAATGCGATATGCAATAGTATTCCACTAGCTATTCAATATTTAAATCAGATGTACAGTATTCCATGAACAAATAATGTTAAATCATAAATATAAATATATATATAGAGAGAGAGAGGGGGGGGGAAGAGAGAGAGGGAGATACCGATAGAGGAGGGGGGGGGTAGGGGGAGAAGGCCCTTAAAATTCTTGCTTCGAATTTTATGTATCCTATTCAAACAAGCAAATGTAGATTTGATAAGTCATAATCATAAATAGTAAGCGGGAAAGTGGGAGAGATAGGAAGGGAGGGAGAGAGAGGAGAACAGAGGATGGGTCTTGATTTAGAGCTGATACACAGAAAGAAGAAAAATAAAGACCAAGACATAAACAAATAAAAATAAATAGAAAGATACAATGATAGAGAAAGAGGAAAGAATGATATAAAAATAACATGAACTGTCTGTATTCGAACAGGTCTTTTCAGAACTACACTCTTCAATCTTTACTCTTCATTCTTTAACCTTCGTGATCTCCTCACAACCTTCTCAATCTCGATTTTGTTTTTGCCTCAATTTTACGGAATGACCCTTAACCCTAAAAAGGCTGGGCTATTTAAGGTCTAAGTACGGCCGGGGGGGGGGGACAATATGAAAATATGAAAATATGGCAATATGAAGATCTCGGCCGTGAAGCGGCCGATCTTCGCCAAAATTTGCACGCATGTCAAGTGAAGTGTATAGAACAATATGATAATTTAAATTTTTTGAAAAATTCACTTATTTGCATATTTATGGTAATTTATGCAAATTAGGTCATAAAATCACATTTTTACCCATAAATCATATATTATTCATATTTAAGCATTTTTTTCACTACATATATTCATCAGACCATTTAGAAAAAAAATACGACAATTTTTTTCGGAAGAGCCAGCTTATTCCTAATATCTCTTGTTTTGACAATTTCTTATGCATTTCATTGTTTTTTTAACTTATGTATTTTATTGTTTTTGTTGTTTTATTTCATTTCTTACTATAATTAAACTATTTTGACTCCCAAACAACCACCTAAACTTTAAACAAGACCCAATAGCCAATGTCTAATTATTTTTAGGAACAATAACATTTCCATATGTTTTGTACACAAATCACAAAAATGAGCGATTTTCGGGCTGACATGCAAAGACAAAAGGTCACGTGACCTTGTAACTGTACGTCTTTTTTAAAGATGCGCAAGACTCGAAAGAAAAAAAGTCAGGGAGCGGCGGGGCGCCATCCATATGCGTTCCCGAGCAATCGGAAAAATCTTGGAGGGGGGGGGGGCATAATGCCCCCCGGCCTCATTAGGGTTAAAGATTCAATATTGTTAGAGGATGTAAGGAGCTATTAGAAAATTCTACAATATCGAGAAAGATCCCTGCAGCAATGGAGAGAAGGGTAAATCAAAGAGAGCATTGGACAAGAAAAGCAGCTGTTAACAAATACTGAAAATTGTTGGATAGTAACAAAAGACTGAAGGAGGGAATCACAACTTTCCTAGATGTTTAATATATACAGTGCAATACTAATTTGTCTATTTTTATTTTTTTTAAAGAGTTATAGAGGGAGGGGGATGTATCAATAGGAAATGGAAGGGAGTTAGAATATTCACACATGCAAGTGAGAATTCGATAGGTCATTTTGAAAAGGATAGGGTGTGTTTGAAGGTATTTTTGTCACAAATCTGAAGTAGGGCCTACTTTATTAAATAATTTTATTTATTTACTAGCGAATTGAGAAGAAAATCAGAAAAAAGTTTATAATATATTTAATGACATGTAAAGGGAGTCCTATCCTACTAGACGAACAACAAAAACAACCCACAATAAAAGCAATACTATTGTATTAGATTGAAGAGACAAACTGTAAAGATTAGCGGAGAAGGAAAAGGATAAAAATATTACATTTCACAGAGAGTATAACCAATCCTATTAAAGAACACACATGGGATTTACAGGGGCTGTATACCTGAAAGTAGTGAACACGATATATTTTGTGTCCGATGTCATGCTACTACGTCTTATGTTAACTTTGAATAATATACTAAAATCAACAAATTAAAATACTGTCTCATACTCAACTATAAATGGACAACTATTTTACCCCAGCCACACATGAAGGTGTGAGGTGACTTAGATTAAGTGATTCCTTTTTTTCTTCAAATTGTAAGATGTCGGGAATATGCACCCCTTTAAAAGATAGGATTGAGAACAATCCGCGACAAAAAGAGAAACAGAATGGGATTTGTTATAAGTGAGTAGAACCTATATATGCATAAATTGGATATAATGTATAAGAAATTTGAATCAAGTAATTGCAATTAGAAGCTGAGATTTTACGTATTTGTTTCAATGGACTGGAAAATTTTTATGATCAATAATGCTTTATGATTAAAGTGGTTTTACTGTTTGAAACTTCGCATTTCTAACCATTTTTTATAAAAAGAATGTATTCTATTCAATTTAATCATTTTTTTCATTTTATATTTTTATTCTTAATGTTACTTATCTTTTCTTTTCTTTTTTTAAAATAGTATTTCATTTTATTAGTTTGAAACCATTTTCGTATAAGATCATTAGTTGTTGGAATCTTTTCTTTCTAATTCTTTTGTGCATTTTCTGATATTCCACATGAAAGTACAATCTTTCCTCAAGTACCGGTACACATCCTATAACAAGCCAGTTTGTAATTGCAGTCTAAATTTGTTTTTGGTTTTTAAAATGTGCAAAATGAGGCACTACTGCATACATGCTCATGTTTAAATATTCATTTTATTTCATGTACCGTTATGATATTTCATGATACACAGGTAAAGTTGTATATCTCTAAATTGACATAAAGGGCATTCACGTGACCCCTCCATTTTAAGGATCATGTTGGGTCTCTCCATGTTTAGATATTCAGTGGATATTTCGTGCTAATTACAAACTGGGTAATTGGAAAACTCCTGCCACGTCTATCTCTTACAACAAGATACAATTTAAATTATCAGTACAACTGCTTTTATGAGAGGGATGATTGCGAAACCCAATAACTAAGACTTACAAAAGAAGACAACTTCTGAATCCTTTGTTATAATAATATAATGTTTATTTCAAAAAGATTTTCGACCAAATATCCACAAGTTCTCAACTTAGTAACCAATGTGTCAAACTCATAGATATACATGCCTCCTATTAGGAGGTATGGGGGTAATAAGATCTGGTGAATAGGAACATATTGTCACAAGGTAGACATTGAAATACCTGCATACCTACGACGTGTGTGCGCGTCCCACGGCGAGGCCTGATCTGTGGAATAAAGAGGTAAACAGAATGCTGTATTAGGCATCTCAAAGGAAATATGATGGGGCAGATACAATCTTAAAACTAAAAGACAAATTATGACATTTTGTTAGGTATAGTATATAGCAAGTTTATCCATTCATTTCAAAATAGATTTATTTCCAAGTATCTTGAACAAATATTCAAATACTTTTCACCTTTCGGCCCTAAATTTACTAATTATAAAATAGAGGAAACATAGCAGTTGCATACTTTCCAAAATGATGAGGACATGAGAAAACAGAAGCAAACATGAAGACTCACCATGTACTGCTATAATGCTATAAATAACTAATTACTATTTCAAACATAGTGGCCCGAATTCACAAAGGAGGTTTATCGACAAACCTGCTTTGTGAATTAGGGCCACTGTTTGAAGCCTAATAATGAACAGTACACATACCTTCTTGGAAATAATTTACAGGCGGTCAAAGAAAGAGAATGGCCTCCGGCGTCTACCCCGACTGACCACACCCAGTCTTTCTTGACCACGATAGTGCAGCGGGCCTGGTTTGAGTGACCATGCACTACCCGTCTCGGCTTCCTCCCTACTACTCCTATAGCAAGGCGTTTACGTCCCGAGAACCTCAGCAGTGTTCGACCCAGTATCCCCCCTCGGTCTCCCCCCTGCTGCTTCTGCGAATCAGTCTGTAGGAAAGAAGAACAAAGTGAGTTTTAAAAAAATCATTCATACTAAAAGTGGAAGTCCACCCTGATAAAAAGTTGGTTGTATTAAACCCATAAAAATGAGAAACAAAGTAGTGCAATATTAAATTAAAAATATGAAAGTTATGAATGTGTTAAGCTGTCATCATGTATAGCTCCTCTCCTACTTGCTCTGTACAGATTTTTTTTTTTTTTTTTATTCTCTTAGTTATTGATGACGGAATAGAAACCTTTCATACAGGGGTTGTATAAAACCAAACTTAGCAATGATTATACTTAGGGTTGATATATGATTGAAACATTTCTTAAGTGAAAATATACGTTTTTAGGATTTTGTGGGGAAAGGACACCGGGAGGCGAGCTCACGTCACGTGATACGTCAGAATCACCAATTATGTTTGATTGCTTGCTCCCATAATAACTTTCTTATTTTCAATCGGTTTTTGCTCAAACTTTCACTGGCCTGTTTCTCTCTTTTATCTGCTTCTATTAAAACCAACTTAATATCAGGGAGTACATCCCCTTTAATTTCATTGTGAGTCATATGTTTGGTTTCATACTTCTTTTTAACGTACTTGACAACAGAATATGCATTCAGATTAATTCATTTTCAGAACCCCCTATACATAAGTGGTAAATAACATGTTACTGTTAAGGCCCTTTAGGGATCGATGATAAAAGAAACATTGAAACCACCTCGGCTCACTTTGTTTCGACTAAAGTTGCTGCTATGTTGGTAAAGTTTGGGCAGATACACAATTCTTCAAATTTGAGATCTTTTGTTTAGGTACATAATTATATTTTGAATACATTGTATGCTCATCTATTTTTTTTCGGAGGGGGGGGGGGGGTATTGTTATAATTATAAAAATAGGCGAGTGTAGAAATAAAGTAATTTTACTTACCCAGGCTATTATCACACATTGCCTCGCCTCGCGGCAATCCGGGCCGACCTCCGCAGGTTCTGGTTTGCCCGATTGGCGGCACGACGTTGCTCCCTCTCTGCGGCGAGCTGAACAGCGGCAGCTGCGATCTCTCGCTCTACCAGACGCGGCGACCTACGTCTCGGGTGGAGTTGCTCACGCTCCTCCGCCCTCCTACGCTGTTCATCCTGCTGTTGGCGATTAGCAGAAACGACCTCCGCACGACCGTTCTCGCGATGCAACTTGTTGACTGTATAAACCAAGCAAAATATAAATGGTTAGGATGTGCTTCATGCATTTCACAGAGGACATTAAAATACACGATTCTCCATTGATATTTGTTATATAGATCTACCCCCCCCCCCCAAAAAAAAAAAAAAAAATGGTGGCCCAACTCATTAACCTGTCACAGTACAAAGCGTACACTTTGAATGATCCAACATCTTACATACTTAGAAGTTATAGGCAGGGGCAGTGTAATTAGTCTCAAAATATTTTCGTCATGAATCATTATTCACGATTCTATACATACTATTTTTAACCAGTAAAGGTCTATGGTCCACATGACTGCCTTTTAAACAAATGAGAAGTAACAGTAATTTTGAGAGGTTTACTTTGAATAAATACATACCGTGTTGCGTGCAGTAGAGTTCAACGGCGTTTTCGTCTAGCGAGTGACGTCCACGCCGGCTGCAACGTCTGCCATTCCCATGAAGCCCCGTATGTGCAGAGCACTGGACTTCGGCTGGCTGTCTGTATACAGGAAACATAAAACAAGAACATATTACTACTAGATTGCCAATAATAATATATTTCAAATAATTATAAAGTGCACATGTTACAATTTTTTAAACACTTTTGATTAGGTAATTCGACAAAGGATGACTCTAAAGAAACCTATTTCAACTCACTTAGGGGTCATTATACTTCTTGAATGTATAATCAACTATGGTTGGTAAATTTGGTTTTAATTTAGGAAATTGTTGTGTACTTACTGACGGTGTTGCCAGCACTCTCCTTCAATACCTAAGGCCAGGGGTACCTTCCTCAAACAACGCGTACCCTTCTGGGTATACTCCACGCAGTTATCGTTGTACCGGTTAGCAATCATTATGACACTAAGCAATACGAAGACGACGAATTCAATTACGAAGCAAAAACTAAGTAAAAATCTCCAAGCGACTTGTCTAGGACAGAATCTAGCAGAGACAGGCAGATTTTTAGCCCCTCATCTTACACGAAACCTAAAATTCGATTTGCGCGGGCGGTTTCTTTGAATGCATCACGTGGTTTGAGCAGACGAACGAATCACATACACCCAAGACAAAGGCATTTAATAATGGCAACGGGTTCCAAGCATATACTGGTGATAACTGTCATGCTATTGAGCCCACCGTGCTAAAATCTATTGTCATGCTAATAATTTTGGAATTCCAGCGAACCTCGTACTTTCTAACATCTGATTTGTAGAGGAACTGCTTGAAGCTATCGTCTTCAGCTGTTGATTGATAGAGCATTATAAGGTTATTCATGTACTGGACATACTATTGTGCTCCTGCATGGGTGATCAGTAAAGTGTGCCCCGTATGACGTGAACGCCTTTCTTTCATTTTGATGGACACGCAACAATAAACCTGCAAACAAAATCGGTGTCAGAGGCAGGCACGTAGCCACGGGGGGGGGGGGGGGGCAACGTGCCCCCCCCCAAAAAAAAGAACGGTTGAACTTGTTTAGACCCCTTTTTTAGACCTCGATCGATTACATGTATGTGCCCCCCCATCCAAACATAAAACTCTGGCTACGTGCCTGGTCAGAGGAGACAGTTAGAAGAAGAAGAAGAAGAAGAAGAAGAAGAAGAAAGTGAGCAAAGTGTGATAAATATTTCTTTTTTGAAATCACTAAAATCGTCAAACAATCAGACCGCATAATAGACTTACATGTATTTCCCCTATTTGGTCAATGTGTGCAATCTGTTGAATTGGAATGTTGTATTGATTTGCCATGAGAAAAGCACAGATTCACCCTTCTATAATCACCCAAACATCACATCACTTGTGTTTTCTACCCAGTCCGGAATATAGACCAATTTGTAATTAACACATGGTACGAGTTTAAATGACCCCAATTTCTAACAGATTTTGGAGATGGTGCTTTGTGCATTTGAGAATAATCGCTGCTAATGTGATAGCGGTGCTTTATAATTCCCCCTTTTGAAAAGAATACTTTCACTTAGGTACCATGCATGTCATGGAATTCACTTTTGATTACGTAATTTCCATGACCTCTTTCTGTTGTAGATCGTAGGCTATCATCGAAATAACTGCATACAAACATACAAAACAGGCCCCACGAAACGTTTTAAAAAGTGTTGGGGGGGGGGGGGGAGGGCTAAAGTATTTACGATCAGGTAAGTTCAAGTTCAATTTATTCAAAACCACACAAAATATGATATGATCTTTTACCTAAGAAAGAGACTGGTAATAGTACATTAATCATCATTTATTAACTTGATCACATCATAAAATGAATGGCTGTAGGACCCCTTCAGAAGCTTAGCTTGTGAGCGGGGCCCTATAATACAATAAGGTGAAACAATAGAATGTAACGTAACTGTATATACAAGTGATGAAAATACAAAGCTATAGAATGTAGAAAAACACACACACGCACACACACACACGCACACACGCGCGTTAGCGTCAATGAGCGTCTGGGGAGGGATGTGCGCCCGCTCCTCTGAAGCTAATTCTTTTTTTTTGGGGGGGATTTTAAACTTTTAGGCTCTTAGACTTTCAACACTTTTTGGTAAAATTTAAATGAAAGCCTTTACAGTAAGCATTTTACCATAAACATATGCATACCACTTGGGGGATGATCCCCCTTATTCAATTTTTTTTGGGGGGTGGGGATATATCCCCCCATTCCCAGGGATATCCGCCTATGTCTACAAGGCTAGAACGTAATTTGTTGCAACAGGTAAGAGGACTATATGAATACAAATGACACAAATACAAAAGGAATTCAGTAATGAAAGTTTACTTGCCAGACTATATCATATTATATTACATCATTTCATTTCGCATCGCATCGCATCACTATACAGTGCGACCCAGAAAACACGAAACCGAAAATTATCAATATTTTATCATAACTTAATCACAATTATAATTAATGAATGACACATATTTGTAAAGCTTAGATCCTCCTCTTTCATTTGATGTAACTTATATGATGCGTTTTCACGCATGAGGGATTAAAAGCAATTTGAAGGAAGGAAACCAAAAAGTCATTTGGCGGGCAGTATCTGAATTTCGAAGAAAAATTCACATTTATAAAAAGTTCATTTTCTGCTCTTTCATATGACACCTCAATCAGGAAAATGGGCCAGGAGTAACAAATTTCTGTTTGTTTAAAGTGATGCTTACATTTCCATAATTTGATTAAACGAATTCGTTTTTACTGGCTGCCTGTCGTAGCAACAAACGGAATTGACAAAAGACTTAACTCCGTTTTGTTGACGATCAGACACAGACGAAAGACTTCATGCAAATCAAGTCAAGAAAGATGACATATGCTATGGAATAAGATGTGAACTTATAGAACAGACATTTAATTGATACACGTCTCTTAAAAAACAATTACAGTCAAACCTGCATCTAATAAGGCCACCGAAGGGAAACAGAAAAAATAGCCACTGACACAGGTGGTCTTTCTAAACAGGTACATTTCACATCACACGTTTCTCTCTCTCTCAAGGGAGGGGAGGGAAAAGTGCATGGCCACTATACACAGGTGGTCTTTATAGAGAGATGGCCACTCAGAAAGGTTTGATTATACACGCAAAACATACTGCAACATAATCTGTGATGAAAGCATCGGCGTACCATATATAGCATGTAGGCCCATGATAAATAGTATAGTATTAATGACTGCTTTGAGAGAAATAGTTGTTTTTATACGCTCAAGGGAAGGTTAGAATTGTGCTATTACCCGAGGCATGCCGAGGGGAATAGCCCAATTGTAACCTTCCCGAGAGCGTATAAAAACAACTATTTCTCGAATATTAAAGCAGTCATTAATACTTTTATATGCCGAAAAAAAAGAAGAAAAAAAAAAACTTTTTTGTCGAAGATGGGATTCGAACTATTGCGTACCAAATGTGAGATTATTACAGTCAGCGCCTCAAACCGCTCGGCCAGCGCGCTGTGACTCCATGCTCAGTAGTTTTCTTTAATATATACATTAAAATGAATTGAAAACGGCTTCGCGTGGTCGATGCTTCGCCGCTGCTCCATTAAACGGGCCCTTCTTTTACTTTTGCAATGCATATTGGCACGAACTTAGATCAAGATCTATCGGCAGATGTTGTTTTTTTGTTTTTGGAAGTTTATTTTCGTCTTCATGTCAACAATGCAAGATAAAATTGTCGGTAAGATCGATCGAGATTCAATTGTATTGAAATTACCGACCAATTCTTCGCACACGTACGGTATCCTCGATCGCTCAGACCATTTTTTAACATGTAAACCTATGGGGTAACCAACTTAAGTGAGGTATATAATGGTCATTAGTGACCCAGAACAACAACATCACGTCCAATCTCTAGCTTAAGATGGCGGTCTCCTGTTTTTTGAAATTTTGAAATGATATTAAACTATGTGGATTTTTTAAAAGATATTATTATTCAATTGGTTTATATTATGATATGATTATAATTTTACCTTTTTCAATAATATATACCTCGTTTGTATTTCACTTGTTATTATGCCTTATGGTGAAAAATGCGGAAATAAATTCAAACAAACAAATAGCAACAATGATCATTGCATGCTGAAAAGTACTTTTCATATATATATATTTCATTATACAGGGCGTATCATAATAAAGGATATTGAAGTTTAATGACGATTTATATGAAAACTACTGATTTCATAATCAAGCATTTTATGTCTGTTGTAAAGGACAGAATGTCCTCTTTTTAATGACACCCCGATCATACTACTACTGTCACAGTTGACTGAATAACAAAGCATTGCTGTCCACCATGTGAAAGGTGCACTGTGCCAAGTTTGATAACATTTCCTTCTTAGACACATAATCCACTCATTGTTCAGCATTTCAATATGTCTGGGCTGACACAAGCACTAATCTTTAGAATTTATCTGTGAATGCTAACTTGTCACAGTGCACCTTTCACATGGTGGACAGCAATGCTTTGTTATTCAGTCAACTGTGACAGTAGTAGTATGATCGGGGTGTCAATAAAAAGAGGACATTCTGTCCTTTACAACAGACATAAAATGCTTGATTATGAAATCAGTAGTTTTCATATAAATCGTCATTAAACTTCAATATCCTTTATTATGATACGCCCTGTATATAATATCATAATTATCACATCATAATCATATCATATCATATTATACCATATCATATCATTTTTACATCATATCAGGTCTTAGCATAGATATAGGCCTACGTTGATATGACCACCTGCTTATATTTGCCGGAGGGGGGGGGGGGTGTCACTATCATACACACGTGCTACCCTCCCGTATCCATCAACCTCTGAAATGGACCCTATAAATGGCGTATCGCACCATGTCTGTAATGACCCTATATATTGGCGAATGTATCGCACACGTCAAAACCTGTGAACCTGAAAAGGTACCCTCTTTTTGGTTTGTGTGCGATCACAAGGAAAACGTCGACGACGCTTGTTCTGGAACCGGATAGCCAATCATGTTGGGAGTGACCCCCCCCCCCGGATATCTGCACTGGTTGGGGGTGGGGGGGGTGGGAGGGGAGAAGTTGACGCCCACATAAAATTTTAACATGATTTATTTCTAATTCGATACCAGTGAGGCCCTATAGCGGGCCCCTGAATGCTCATCTGACCGTAATTACATGCCTAAAACCCCAAGGCTTCCAGGAGCTCCACCCCCTGGACCCCACGGAGCTTTTTGGCGGGCACCTGGATGCTCATCTGAAGGTAATTAAATGCCTAAAACCCCTGAGATTCCGGGGGCTCTGCCCCCTGGACCCCACTCCAAATTGTGACTGCCAGTGTCACAGATAAGGTATCAAATATGCTCATTTGAGTGATCTGACCGTAAATAAATATGCCTCAAAGCCTTGAACTTCTGGGGCACCGCCCCTGGGCCCCTGACTGCTCATCTGACCGTAATGAAATGCCTTAATCCCTGAAGTGCATGGGGCTCTGCCCCTTAACCCCGCAGGGGCTCTGCCCCCTCGCACCCCACGCCAATGCGGATTTTTTTTTGTTTTTTTGTTATGCCCTCCCCCCCCCCCCCCAAAAACAATTTTGCTCATTACGCCCCTGGACATTTGC